TCTCGTATGAAAACATTTCTCATCTTAAACAGCTAAACTTCATGTGCTTTATTTCAGTGTACGAGTTCAAATCCTATAGTTATGCACAGTCTAGACTATAACAATTATTAATGTAGATTTATTTGTTATTTTTGCTTGTTTTATTTTATGTAATTAATTTTTTTTACTAATTCTTGTATTAGTAAAAAATTTAGCTGCGTAAAATATGTTCAAGTTTTTACTAACTCTTTTCACTTTTATTAATTCTTGTTTGAAAATAACAGTTAATCTGAAGCTAATTACAGTCTCTGTGTCTGGTGTTATTTTGGCAGGATTATTTATAAAACCAAATGTACCAAAAATGTTCTTTTTTATTTTGAAGTTCAGAGAATTTATTATTTCAGATAGAAGCACCTTTATTGTTATTTTGGTATTGATAAGAAAGATAAACAAAATATTGATACCAGCCTAAATAATGTTCTTCAATGATAATAAAATCATGTACATTTTTTACTTTGGATTAGGTGTAAGTTTACAGTACTTTAATGTAATATGTTTACAATGACGTTCTATAAACTTACTTCACTCGTCTTTTTATTTATCTTTTTGATGATAATTTCGTGTGCATATCTAAGGTGACAAGAGTCATAGAAAAGTATACATATGTATAAATTGAAAGTAATTCCATAAGCTTCAGGACAGAGGTCCTGGCACTACACTAATTACATATACTTTTCTTGAAGACATATTTGGAATGGGAAAGAAGTCTTCAGATACATAGTCACAAAATTCAGTCTCCAACTGAAAATGCTAATATTTGAGATATTTCTTCAGGGGGCAAATAAATAAATGGATTGCTGGGTGGCATGTCCAGATTATTAAAAAAAAAGCTGTAGTATTTCCCATTGAAATTTCATTAGAAGATCTTCTGTTTTACCTACAACATGCAGCTGATCATTAACGTACCATAACATAATATTTTAAGTCACCATGCCATTATTTTATATTTGATGATAGTACAGAATCATTGCAATGTTTGACAATCCTTTTTGATGGAGAATTGTCTGTTTAATAGATGAATACAGCTGACAACAAAAACGTTCCAATATGTAAGGCAATTCAAAATTTATTGTGATCTAAGATATTGGATACCTTTGCAGATTTCTTTTTTCTTTTTCTTTTTGTTTCCAGTTCAAAGAAAAAGTATATAATTTCATTACCTATCACTAACCATTTAAAAAAAAAAGCAATTTTGGTACTGCGTGAAATGTCTTCAAAAATGTCTTGTGTATCTATCTACAACTATGGCAGTCCTCTTCCAGAAAACATATGTTTACCATACGATCTGCCTTTGATATTGATTCACTTGTTCCAGAATTTTGAATGTAACCATTGCATTTTATTGGCTGAGTTTCGCATTGTCCAAAAAACTTTCATGACTTTGAAGGAAGCATGCATTCCATGTATGGAGAGTTTTCATGAAACAGAAATTTCCTCCTATAAATGTCAATTTATTTGTTGCCTTCACCCAAATAAAAATCTATGCATGCTGTTCGTATACCAAAGAATTTTTGTGATTAAAATGCCATTTTCAGGCAATATGTTAATGAAATATATATGTTATTTGACTTAAACCAAACCTCTGCTATACATCACATTGTTGTATAAAGTCATTTCTCAATTTTCATGTCATGAACTTACTTTTTTCTGATATCTGATAAGATGAAGTGGGCTATTCAAAATTCTGTCATGTAATATTTGTTAAGATCAGTGATGTAATGAGAGGGTACAAAGGGATCTATCACACTGTGGAGCGCCACTCACAGAGGAGCACCAAATAGTCCCCAAGACAAACAGGATTTTCTGGAAAATTTCAGTTTTATTTTTAGCGATTTCTGAAAAATAAATTTTAAATTAATGATTATTGTAATATAATTAATTGTTTCCTTTCTTTATTTGGCTGATAAAATATGTTATAAATAATGTTTGCAGTAGATCAATCAAATATCTCCATATGCACAATGTTCTTTCTTTCTGAACACTTTGTTTTTCTAAAATCATGAAATATTTTTTTTTAAAACAAAATGCACAAACATCTCATGTTTGTTATTTTAAAACGATAATAAACAGTGCAATATAGTCTTTTATTATAAGGATTTTGATCTTGATCTATTGTTAATTTGGCCACTAAACTATACGAATCAACTAATAAGTGATATCAAAAGAAATAAATATTATGGACTTTTATTTGATTCAACTCCTGATATCACTCATTGAGAACAAATTTTGCAAGTCTTTAGATTTTTAGATATTGATTTTACCAGCAAGAAAGTTTCATCAAGATTTTTTATATATATATATATATATTTATTAAAGTACGTGCTAAAAATGCAGTCTCAAGATACAATTTTAGAAAAATTAAACTCTGATTAGATTTCATTAACAGGCTGTAGACGACAATGTTATAATGGTGTTGTCAGGATGTCAGGTCACATGTCTGGTGTTCAATAAAATTTATGGGAAAAAGTAAGGAAGCATTTAAACTGTGATGACCACTCATTAAATTTAGTAAGAATTACTGCAGCTAAGCAAGATCCAGTTGTTGTAAAATTTCTGAATAACTGAAAACATAATATCTCTTTTTCTCACATTCAACATTACATTGGGAATTAAAAAAATGCTTTAAAGAAAACTGGAGGACAGTTCTACCACAAGTGTCACCAAAAGTGAAGCTACAATTTTATTGCAAAATACTCTGAATTTCATAACTTAAGCACATTTCTGGCATGAATTCTTAAGGAGAACTGATCATGTGCAGCTTAGATTACCAGATCCTAAAATGAATTTTAGAGAAGCCTTGCATGGTCTTGAATCATTAGCAACTGGAAGAAATTCAAGACGAGATCTGTAAAGAGGAAATAGAAAAGGCTAAGTCTCTTTGGGAAAAAATGGCTACAGTTACAACAATCCATGTTAGAAGACGCTGAAAAAGGCCCAGAGAATTGGCTAGAGATGTTGGCCTTTCCACAGTAAATGAAATTTCTCCCATTATGAAAAGCGTTCCTGATCGTCTGCTGCAGGAAATAAATACACAATTTACAGGACTAAGTGATCTTAATTCGAAATTTGGGTATTTACTGGACATTGAAAAATTATTGGACAAAGAAATTGTTGACAATGATCTTGAAAAGAATTGTAAAAATTTGGGTGAATTTTATAATACAGATTTTAATGGACAGAACTCTATGTCAAAATATGTGACTGCAAGATATTACTCTGCAGTAGAAAAGAACTTAACTCAAAACTGCATTAGAGCTTTGTACCATTATAATCTGGTATAGAGAAAGTGATTTTTCAAACCTAAGAGTTGCTCTTCAAATACTCCTTACTATTTCAGTATCAATTGCTAGCTGTGAATGTTCGTTCAGCAAATTAAAATCAATTTTGGCATACCTACAATAAGCTATGGAACAAGATTGCCTAGCATTTTTAAATGTGGAAAGAGGAAAATGGGAAACGATCGACTTTGATGAAGTAATTGATGTAAATGATAAATTTTCTTCATCAAAAGAATGCATGCATAGTAATTAATTGTATTAATGTATTATAATATCATATTAATATTAATAAATATATCTACTTATGTATAATAACTTTTTCATTATTTAAAAGCTGCGTGTTTTTAAAAACAATTATTTTAATATGTAAAATAAATAAGATTTTTTTAACTAATTTTAGATGAGCATATTTTTTTTTTTTTTTTTCTCACTGACACATTTCTGAATCCAATCCTAGTCTTGATTTTTTAATTAGATTTTTTGTCTCAAATTTAAAGCCTAACCCAAGTCTGTTATCCCGAAAACTGTATACCATTTATTCGGAAAAACTTTATAGCATTTTGTAGAAATGTAATTAGGTATTGACTATTTATAATATATTACAGAGTATTTTAAGGCAGGTACTGCATTTTGTTATTATTTGTATTATGTTCTTATTACGAGTATAGTCTACATGTTAGTATGAGTTTCTTATGGGGTGCGGAAAAGGTGCATTTATGTGTGTACCAGGCGCCAGTTATGCTCACTGTACGAGTATTACTGGTTAAGATGGAATAAAAATGATTGGCTGTTTTCATGTTCTCAGGGGGGGGGGAAGATCACATTGCAAATCAAAACCAAATCATATTAATGGTTTTGAGTTGTTAGACTATTCTTCTCCATCCTATGAAAAATTCTGCTTTTTTGTGAGTTTTATCTATGGAGGTTTACTTTTTAACATTATTTTTGGCTGTTTATGAATACTTGTGTATATACTACTATTTTATTTTGTATGGAAGTTATCTAATTGTTGTTAGTTTTATCCTTTATTTTTTTTTCCTAGATTTCTAGTTTTTTTAGTCATTTATTGTTCAAGACCATCACAAATAACTTTAATCAACTTCCTATTTTTTTTAATTCCTTACCATTTGAGGAAAGATTTTTATTTAATTATTCTTTTATGTATGGTGCAATAAGTATGTAAAATAATATTAATCTTTTTCAGTTAAAATCCTCCCTTAATAAAAATAAACTTCCATCTCTACAAAAAATATTAAATAATTTTCCCAATAAATTCCTATTTATGAAAAATATGCAGTGAACAAATGTTTGAATAAATTAAAGGAATTATTGATCTACCAAAAAAAGTAATAGAGTTTGAGCACTGATGAAATAAGACAGTTTTGAATTCTAATTGAATAATAATGTGTTTACAGCTATAACCTCCCCACAATAAATATTATTTATTTTCCCTTATAATCTTATGAAAAATATGCGGTGAACACAAATTTGGGTAATTTAAACGAATTATTTGTCTACCGTACAAAATATAATAGTTTAAGCCTTAATTGAATAAGACAGTTTGATTTTTAACTCAATAATAATGTGTTTACAGCTAGGATATTTTTTCCGTTTCATGTAACATATTTGTTTTTTGCTAATGTTGCTTCTTTCTGATATGTGTACAATATGTTTCTGTTTCAGGCTCAACCTATTGCTCCAGAACTCGTTGCTAAGCTTCTTGGCAATCGCGTAGCGGTGAGTCCTATTGTAACAGTAGAACCCAGAAGAAGAAAATTCCATAAACCTATAACTTTAACAATCCCTGTTCCTCAGGCAGCTACAAAAGGAATGATTAATCAGTATAGTGGTGATGCCCCAACATTAAGGTTATTGTGCAGCATAACAGGTAGTACCAAGTCAGGTTTGTCTCGCTTTCTGTCTTCTTTTGCCTACCTTCTCATCTTTTCCTTTTCCAAGCTAACTGAGTTAATAGAGAGCTGTAGTTAATAAAATTTTACTGCTTAAAAAGTAGAAGCCTGTATTGTTATTTTTATTATTTATGTATGCTTTTCATATTTTTTATTGATTCAGTTTTCAGTATTAGCTGTTGTTTTGTATTTTTTTTCCTAAATATTTCATGCTGTTTTGTCTGTTTTTCTATGCTTTTCAGCTTATTTGTGGGCATTTTATATTAGTAGTTTATTTTTTATATTACTATTTGTTATTTGTATATTTTAATTTATTATTCATATTTTAATGTTTTAAGATTTTGTCAGTTCTTTGTCAATCTTCAAATTAATCCTTTTTCAGGTCAAATAAAAATAACCTTTTTATTTGACTTGAAAAAGGATTAATTTGAAGGAATTTTTTACATTTTTATTTTTCAGTTTTCATGGTATAGAATATTTTTCTCAAAATGATTTTATGAACTAACATACAGGCTTCAGCAGTACTTAAAAGTAATTGTGAATGCTTTTTAATTTATCATAGGAGAAACAGTCAAATTACTATTATAGGTGTGTCTATTATTTATAAACTTTAAAATATACTAAAATGTGTTCTTGATATTATATGCAGCAATGTTTTTGACTTGTCTGTAAGCTTTCTCACTAGAGTTTTAAATTGAAAAAGTTGTTACTTTATTTATGTTGTGTCCAAAAGCAGTATGTCAGATAAAAGTATACATGCACATTTATACTTTATGCATTCATAGATACATATATGTTATTTTCCAAGAACACCATATAGGAAATTAATGAGAAATGCATGATTTAATTTTAACAGTTGATGGGGATTTAAGACAATGTGCCAAAAGGTCATAAAAAGTTACATAAAATCATCGAAAAAAGGAGGAGAGTGCAACTTACAATAACAATATTCTTTAAGCAGGAGTTTTTTTTTTTTTTCCTTTAACACGCTGAGCGTGGCGCTGGTCCCTGGGGACCGGCAGTGAACTTTCCGTGGGGACTGGCAGTGGAATTTTCATTTGGCTGGCATCGGCCTGTGGGACCGACAGTATTAAATTTAAAAAATACATATAGTCTGAATGAAATGTGATCAAATTTAATTTTAATGAAATGTATTGAAACATTCTAAGCAAAAATACGGCTTAGCTTGCTGCCGGCTGAACAGAAAGGACAGCAAATTCGGCGCTGCGCTCAACGTGTTAAACAACAGCAAAAATTCACTAATAAATGGAAATTACATGCATCAGTTTTTCCAATGTATAGAAATCAAGCCAACAGGAAAAGGTGTCTGGATGTACTGTTTATTTGAGCTTTCATTTTGATTCTATTGGCAAACTGACATAAAAAACCAGCCTTTTCTAGACTAGCCTATTTTATGTAAATAGTTAATTGGCAATAACTGTTTTGCAAAAATTTTGAACTGATAAACATCTAAAAAAGGGAAAAGGCTCTCTTACATATTCTGGGCTACTTAAACTTGAAAAAACATTTACGTATGTATCATGTATTACTCAAAAATGAGTAGCTGTAGAACGTTGAAATTTTGTATATGAGACTGCTATAACATCTAACTACCTTTGTCGATTGCAACTTTGTCGATGCAATCGACCACTCCAAACGTATATAAATATAATGCATACTGAATTGCCATTCTGTTATTTGGCTTGATGAGCTAATTTTTTTATTTTTATATGTTGGTAAATTTTACATTTTTTGCTTTAAAAGTGATTGAAATTATATTGTTCTTATTGTTCTTATGTTCCGGTTAAGGTTTTTATGCCCTTAATTAATTTGCATGCAGTAGTTTTAGAATTATCAACAACTTAAAAGTTTAAGTGACGCTATGGCGAACAAAGCCACGTTTGAAATTTGTAGTAGAATAATTGAAGTCAGTATTAAGTCAGTTGATGCACCAATTTCAGTGTCTTTTAGCGTAGTGGAACCAAAAGTTAACCTTCAATTTTGAGCACAGAAAATTTGCTTATTAGCCAAATTGCTTGTTTTTATGTAGAAACTCTTATTTTAATTGTAAAAAAAAATATTTGTTTTTTTATAGCTGTTTTTAAATGTATTTGGTTATTTTATGTTTTTTCTGTATTTTGCAATTTTTAATGAAGATGTTTTAAGATTTTATGTATTTTTGCTATACTGCATACATGATTACTGAATTGATTGAATGAGAAATATAGCTGTATTGAAATTCTAGGAAATAAGTTTAACTGAAGTACAGCCAAAAATGTATATAATTTGATAGGCCGTATAAGGTAGTCTTGTGGTGTCCACATCAATATTTTATGTTTCACACAAATTCTTTTCATTAGGTTTTAAAGCAGCATATTTTCAGTACCAATAAAATATTTACATTATTTAATTTTATTCTTCTCTAATATTTTTATAATGTAGCTATGCAATTTCCAATTGCTTTAGAAATAGCTCAACCCTGGTACTTCCCCCCCCCATTCTCATTTCACTAGTATAACTTCCCTGTTGTTACTTTGTTAGGTATTAAAAACTGCAGTTGCTGTATATATTCTAAATTGAAACTGTCAAGAGATTAAATACTTCTAAAAAAACAAAGAAACTGGGAAATGAATAGGCTAATTTTAAAATACACTTTTTTATTTGGGTATATGTGTAACTAACTATCTGTGTATCATTTGACACATTTCAAATTTCATCAAGTATGAAAGAAAATTATATGCTTGAATATGGATTGATTTTTAAATCCTTGCAAATATATGTTTATTCAATTAAAATGTAGCATCTGCTGTCTGAAGTTCAATATGAATTAATTGTAATTTTTTGGTTAAATCCCTATGCTTTTAATGCTAGCATAAAAATTACAGACTATCTCAGAATTGTCTCTCTTTTGTATTTTTTTTAAATCCAGGTTGGAAAATGCTTTTATTTAATTATTTACCTAAAGAGCTGGAAATTTTTAGGTAGGTTCATAGAAAATTAGATTCTGAGGAAGCTGATTCAAATCCAAATGACTTTAAAGAATTTTTTAATCATACTGCAATTTATAATCTCCATGCAGCTGTTCCCAAAACAATTTTAGAATTTTAATTTATAAATTTAGCATTTAATGAAAATATTCATTAGATGCAATTTGAGGAGTACATTGTTGGAAGTTTTTCTTTTTGACACAGCACAATGTTTAATAGTGTTGATTAACACAATTATTTGCAAATTCAACTTTTTGATTGTGGTGAGAAATTAATAGGACAGTATTTATTTTATTACAAAGTGTGGCAAATAAGGAATGAGATTGTATTCTTTTTTAAATCCATGCAAAGCTGACGCACCAGAATTTTTTTTCTTCATTTTGTTCCTGGTGCTGTGCTTTCATTTCAAATTGTTGATGGAGCAAATTGCGAGATCTTGGGGTTGCCAATATTTAGATTCAGTATGAGGTGTTTAATTGATTTTCAGACTGTAACTTCAGCTAGTTTAACAAAAGAGCAACTTTAAAGCAATAAGCATGCCCCTTTCATTTCTTTTTAATAATGTCTATAAGTATAGATTTTAATTCATTTAACTAATATGAAATAAATCCACCTAACTAATAATTTTTGTAAATATTCGAGTGTAAAGTTAAGAAAAATGTAAAAAACAATAAAAATGTTTAACAATTTTCAAATTTTATAGATAAAGAAGTGAAGTTTGGAAACATTCAGAAATACAGAAATGCAAACGTATGGATCTTCTTAAATATAAGTTGCGAATGTTTTCTTTTGAAAAGGCCTATGTGCTTAATTTTAGAGCTTATGTTAAAAGTATCTTCAAATCCTATTTATAGAAACATCAGTTTTTTTTTCAGAGCAGGAACACAAAAAAGACAGTTATGGCCTTTCACAGATCTTCCAATATATTGCTGGATGGGCTATCACTTACACCCCAAGAGACACACAGAGGAATGCCACAATTCCTCCTATTCTGACCACTTAAAAAGTGTTTGGGGATAGGTTACGAGATCCAGTCAACTAAATTCAGTTTATGAGGAATCGCTGTCGACAACATTTTATTTCGGATCTCAGTTTAGAAGCATTATGTTTTTCTTGTGAATGAAAAACAAAAATTCAGGTTATTTTTAACTACATCTTTAACTGATATTTAACTAGTCTTATTGTTTAAATAGGCATTTTTTACTTTTTATCTAAAATTTTGTTTGGTGGTAAAGATTGGGAAAATAATTATTCAAAACATTCATCTATCTTTTCCAAAAAACAAAATTGTACAATTAATATTATATCCCCCTTCCCTATACACTCACACACGCATATGGAGGGAAAGCAATCTTTAATTTTTGTTACATTTAATTTTGTAATTTGCTATTTACTTCAAAAAGTGTTATGTGCATACGTTAAATTCAGTAAACACCTTAGCATTCAATTATTTTTTCTCAAGACAAACTTAACTGAAATCATCCCAATATTAGCTTCATTGGGATGATTTTAGTTACATAAATCGTCTGATTTTATGCCAAAAGATCTGCAACTATTCTCTCAGATAAGCTCAATTTTTATTTATTATAAATCATAACAGCCCTAATAAATAGACTAGAAGTTTTAACATTATTAAATAATAAAGTGCCTCACTGCTGCCTAGGCCAACACGAATCCAGGCCTTGTATCTTAAAAGGATGCAAATCTTGCTGTAACTCCTCATGATTATTTTGTTTGATAAAAAGACAAACTCATGCATGTTGGCCTTAGAAAGAACCTATACCTAATGTTTTTTGTGTTAATAAGGACCTGATGAACAATTACTGACGTATGTTCTGATTGGCATTAAGGAATGCCTAAGGTGTCTTGAGCTGAACCATAATCTGAAGTCTGGAACCAGAATCAGATGACTTGAATTGAACCAAAGTTGGAATAATGGAATGTATAAAATCTATGAAATTGCTAAGTAATGCATAAACTTACTCCAATCACGATTACGGTGAGTAATATGATGCAAAAACCTATTTCCAAAAACATTTTTAGATCCATCTTTCTTTTGCTTATAGTGCCAAAGAGCTATTATGCTATATAAGCTGAATTACACAAAAGCTGATCTTAGATCAAAAGAAAAGAACACTAATTTCCTTTAAATTTTCCTCATGAGAAAATGACAGAATATGCTGGGGGGCTGGAAATCCAAGTACAATATGTGAAGGGGACCAATGATTTGCATGGTATATGTGATCCCCCCCTTTTTTTTTTTCAAACTCCGATTTTTTTTTTTTTTTACTTTGAACTTTACATGCAAGTGTTTTTCAAACAGATTAAATGAATTACTATATTTTACAACATTTATTTAATTATTTAACACTAAGCCTTCTGCCCGACTTAAAGTACCCTAATAACATTGAATCAGGAATCAGGTCACAGTAGGTTTCTTAACCCTTGCCATTAACCCAAGAAAGAGATCTAATATGTATTCCTTTCTCATTTCTTCCAAATATTTGATATTTCAAATATTTGATTTTTCTAAACTTTCATAATTTGTTCATTTATTTACTTAGCATTAGTTTTAGCTGGTAAAATGTATTCCTCATTTAGACAATGTTGTTATTGCCAATTGCACTTTTTCCTCATCACTTTTTCTCATATTTTGAAACTTTATGGATTTTGATGCACCCTATATATCAAGAATATATTTTAATCTATTTTAATATTTATGAATAGAAGACGAGTTAATAATGAAAGCTTTAAAATAAATGGTGTTAAATGCAGCATTCATGTGTCCATTATAAGCCAGATAGCTCATGACTTGGCTACGGTGACCAGAAAAATGCTCACAGGAAAAAAAGCCCACAGGAAAAATGCTCACAGGTATAAATGCTCACAGGAAAAAACCCCACACATAAAATGCCGCATAGTAAAAAGCTCACATGGAAAAATACTCACTTAGAAATATTCTCACACGGAAAAAAGCTCACATAGATATATGTTCACATGGGAAAAAGCCCACTGGTTATTAAAATATGTAGAAATATCCTTACATTAATCAATCAATAATTAATCGATTTGAACATCGTACACCTACTTGGTGTTTTTTTTTTCAGAGAAGTATTATTTAAATTACCAAAACATCTATGGTATATATAATATATACATATATATGTTGTATGATCTTAAATTCACTTTATATATCTCAAAAACTGTATAACTTATGCGTAGATTTAGTTGCTATATAAAATCAATAAATGCACCGTTTTGAATTAGGAAAATGAGAGTAGGAAGGAAGAAAAATGAAACAGAATGTACAGCAAAAAATTATTACAATTTTAATTGTTAAAAAAATAAAATAATAGTAAGTATAAGTTACACATTTTATAATAGAAACATTTAGAAGACTAAACAAATAGAAATAATTATTTTATTTAAATTACATAAAATACCTTGTTATATATATGTTATACATGTGTGAAATATACATGTATATTTTACACAAACTTATAAGGTATTTCTCTCACCTTCTTAGTATGCCTTTGTGGTATGGTGGTCTGCATGCTGGGCATGTATTCCAGAGGTACGTGGTTCGATTTCCGGCAAAGGCTTTGTTAATTTTTCACATCACCTGCTTCCTACCTAATATTTCTACAGTGGCACCTGAACTAAAAGGGTGGTGGATGATGATTTTCCACACCCAGGATTTGGCGATTGGGTCCCCTAAAAACCCCAGTCACCCTTTAAAAGTGGGGAGTATATAAGGTATTTCTCCCGCCTTCTTAGCATGCCTTTGTGGTGTTTTGGTCTGCATGCTGGGCATGTATTTCAGAGGACAGTGGTTCAATTCCTGACGAAGGCTTTGCTCATCTTTCACATCTCCTGCTTCCAAAATACCTAATGTCTCTACAAACTTATTGAATTATTACAACTAATTTTATCGTCGATTTCATCATAGTTTCTTACATGATTTGCGATTACCAAATAATTTTTTTTTTTTTTTTTTACTTCAGTACGCCCTGTATTTACAAAAGCTAGTAATAAATGTTGACAGGCTAAATCTTTTTTCAGTACGTCAAACAAAAACCACATATTAGGATGGCTACAATTAAATAATGAATTTAGTACCTTATGAAAGCTTTTGTAATAAATTGTTGTTTTAGGAGATTTTTCGAAGGCTGCTACATAATGATTCCACACTTCGATTGGAAACTGTGGTCTTCTAGAACTTTTTTGTCTCCAAACTTAAATAACTACACTCAAACATCAATTTCTATAGATACTGATCAAAAGTATGCAAACATAGAGTAAATAAAAAACAATAATAAACTATACTGGCAGTTACAGGGGAGGAAAAAAAAAATGTCGGGACATTTTTTACAGGGGTTACAGGAAACAGGGTTTTACGGGAGCTACAGAGAAAAAAAAGTACAGGGGGCAGTGGTATAAAATATACTGTCAGCAAAATTTTACTATAGTTTTTCATTCTTTTATATACCGCCCCTGAAAAGGTTAATATGAGCATTTGTCTAATAATTTTTCAAATGATCAAATAATTTTTCCTTAAAAAATTCAAGTAGTCGTACGATGCTCAAATCGATTAATTATTGATTGATTAACCCATTAACTGCCAAAACTACAAGGAATGTTTCTTTTCTCATGAAAATAATAACAAATTTTAAATTAAGCATTTATAACATAAATTTACATTGAAAATAAAGAAAATGCTCTTAGCTGTGGAAAAAGCGAGTGTTGCGTTCGTACAACGTCAGCGGAATAAGACATTGGATGTTTAGTGAATAGGATTGTACTCGTGTGATGTTTCTTTTGAGTGGAGCACAGGATTACTTTTTTAGCTGTATAACGTTTTATAAATCTACAAATCACTTTACTTGTAATTAATTAAATATTAGAATATACATTGTATTTCTTTTACAAATACAGATTATTTCATTTGAAAGATTCAAGCATGAAAAGCTTGATTACAATCATGATGTAAAGCTACATTACATGCTTTGCATCTATAAACAGTTTGGCTATGGTACTCTTTGTTAAAGAGTACCATAGCCATCAATGGACTTTACAATAAAATGTCTACCATCTCCATGCAATGGTTTTTGAATGCTGAATTTACTATGTCTTCCTGTTGCTGATCAATTTCTGGCTAATTCTACACTCTCAATAGGAGTTTGCGAAAGGAATAATGCATTCTCCCGTCTGAAATCTAAAAGAGATGTTATATTTCCAGTAGTAAAATGTGGTGATATTTAGTAAGTTTAGATATAATCTCACCTCATATAATTTATCAGTATTGTCAATTTGACTATTGTCAAATGCAAATTCTGCTTCATATTCCTGTATTGCAAATGCGATATCAATTCTCGTACAACAGGAACAGAAATGTCCTTATCAAAAGACCTATACATTTTTTCTTGAGGTAAAGAATGATATCCTGTAAGCAATAATATTCCAATAAATCTTCTCATATAGGCTTCAGATGCAATAAATTCTGGGCCTTCTTTTTTTTTTTTTTTTGCTGAGCGTATATATTTGTCTACTCAATGAGAAGAGAGTAAATGTCTAAACCAAAAAGAAAATCGAAAATCTGTGCACTAGTTTTACCTTGTGTTTTGTCTTTTATATTCTCTTCTATCTCTTTCTTCTTTGTTCTCTGAGACATAACTAAGAGTTCCCTTTTTATCCATTTCAAGATTTCAGTCTTCTGATTTTTAAACTTTTTAGTATGACTATAACTGCTTTTAGAAGGCTGAAACTTACTTCTTACATGAATTTCAACTTCCACAGCAGTATCATTTGGTAAAATGTTATCATTATTTAAAACATTGCCATTCCTTTTTTCTTCGTCACTAGCCTCTGCAATTTCTGGGGGAACAACAACAATATCAGTTTTTTTCTGGTCATTATTAACATTATCATCATCTGTTTCTTTCAAAAAAATCTTTGAAGAGCTCTTCTAATGCAAGATATCTCGTTCTAGGCATTTTTAAACACCAGACTTAACCAGAACATCGAAAGGAATGAGTGAAAAAGGAGATTGACTACCCGTTTCCTGCTGACGTTTCGTCAGCGCCAACACCTGTTTTCCTTCCTTCCCAACACAAATATAAACATCTGACTGATGTAATGTCTGATAAATGGTGACCTTGATTAAAAATAGATCACTCTTAAAGACCGCGATTGATTCTTTCGTTAAATATTTTTAGCAAAAAAACCCGGTCGAAAATTTTGCTTAAAGTATGAGATAATTATTATAACAAAATGATTGTTGAAGGCAAATCTTTTTTTACAGAAATAATCTTCATAATATTACCTACACAAGATCATCTGCTGTATAAAATATCTTAGGTAGTTATATTTATATACTCATTTATCTTGACCGTTGCGTCAACGCAACATCAGCGGCTAATGGGTTAATGTAAGGATATTTATATGTATTTTATTTATCAGTGGGCTTATTTCCATGTGAGCATATATCTATGTGAGCTTTTTTCCATGTGAGTATTTTTCTATGTGGACATATTTCTGTGTGAGCTTTTTTTTCTGTGAGCATTTATACCTGTGAGCATTATTCTTTGAGCATTATTCCTGTGGGCTTTTTTCCTAGAACCCTTGGCTACATATGCCAGACGTCATTACTATATTGATACAGCAGTTAAGTGTTATATATTTATTTAATTTCTTTTATCTTTGATCTATTTAGGAGGTTCCTCTAAAGCTCAGTGGGAGGATGTAACTGGATCAACTCCATTGACTTTTGTAAATGATTGTGTATCATTTACAACTACAGTATCTGCTAGGTAATTATCTTTAAATGTATCATTATGCTTTACAGACTAGTTATGAATTAGATCTCTGAATTATTCATAGTTTCCTGTTTCTTTAGAAGTATAATTAGTAAATAATTTTAACTATATAGGTGGGCAACATAATGAGACAACATATTAGGATCTTGTAATTATTTATTAAAATCACTTATAATCGAAATCAGAAAATGCCAATATACCATGAATCATAGTGCATTTTTAGACTGTAAATTGTGAAACTCGGGATGATGATTTATATACCAAAATGTCATAGTATATTTTATTGATAAAAATATTTATTTACAGTCAAAAGTCGTTAATTCGGACACCCATTAAGACCTTTATGGCTGCAAATTTGCATGTGCGCATGCGCAAAATACGTTTACGAATGCGCGTTTAATGCATAACGGACGGAATAAGCTAAGCTAAAATAATCTAATTATCTATTTCAGTTAATGTTGCAGATTGCGTTGTTCCTTAATCTTCGAATTGGATCCGGCTTATTATTTTTTGCAGACTGTTAGAGCAATTTTGTAAAAGTAAGCTTGAACTTTCGATTATGTCAAATAGAATTTCCGATTTATACTTACTAATATATAACGGATCTACAAAGCCAAAAAATGTTTCGGAGTCCATTAAACAAAAAGTGGAATTGCTGCAAAAAATGAATAAAAGCATATGCTTTGTTTATCTAAACTTTAACGTTTGTTTATCTTTAACCCCGCGGCGGCGCGTGCAATGAATTGGAAGTTGATCTGCCAGCACTATCCTTATCTTCAGGGCAGATGTTTTTATTTTATTTGGCTTATAATTGCTTACTAAATGTAGTATTTCATTTCGATGTACTCCATCTTTGATATGATTTAAATCAAATGCCTGTCATTATAATTCGCTTTCCGATAGCGAAGAAAGTAAACAGAGGTTATTGAAAACGAAAAAATTTCGATTGACAATTAGTCGGATTTTCGACACAGCAATTATAGGACTTGAACAGCGGATCTTTGTAACTGAACAAGAAATTATGTGTTTATAGAATTAAAGAGAATGTTATTATCACATAAAAAACGAAGCAACCTAAACAACTTACATTGAAAGAAATGTTTAAGTAAAGTAAACAAATAAATATTAAGCTTTTTTTTTTTGTAAATTTTGATACAGTTTAGATCATAATTGTTCTTTATTTCGTAAATTACGGTTTCATATTTTTAATTTTATAATTTCTGCATGCTATTTTACCAGATTTAAACTGATGATCTATAATCCGGAATCGCCGAAGTCCCGACGAGTCCGGATTAACGACTTTTGACTATATTAAGCGTAAAGTAAAATTTTGAAACTTAATGTACCAAAATTACGGTTGGGGAAGAAAATCAGAGAAATGAACTTGAAAAATGTGAAATTACCTATGAAAGATAATGAAATATGAAAGATAATGATAAATATGAAAGATAATGCCGCTGGTTCGAAATAAAACTAAGTTAGGCCACACAAATATTTAATTATTTACACAATGTACAAGGTTACAAGTTAGGTGCTCTATTAGCACAGACAGTGTCGGACTTGCGAATGCACCATAGGTCCGCTGCGTACATTCTTCAACTACTAAACTAAATTTGCTTTCTCTCACAAGAGGGTTCTGATCCTGAATGGCACTACATTAAACAGAACATCCTGTGTTATGGGGACTTAATATAAAATATTTAGTACATGTATGAAGTTTCAGAACTAAATGTCACAAAAAATTGAAGGAGAGCAGATTTTTTTTTTTTTTTTTTTGTATGGTAAGATAGTTAAGAATAAATACACATACTTAATGATAGTTATACTGTTTACAAACAACTGTACTTATTCTTGCTGTTTAGACTCTTTAGCAACTGAGTAGGTCAGACTGCCGAACACTGGTTAGCCTAGATTGTAAGAGATCGGCAGTTCCAGCAAACAGTGTTGTTCATTTTTTGGACCTACAATAATAGGCAACAAATTCATATTGTGAAACACAAAATTTCATTTAAACTTCATTTCTTAAGCAGGTAATGTTTCAATGAAACCAACTGAAGGTGTGTGGGAGCTGTAGCCAGTAGCCCTAGTTTTTTGAGGATCTTCAAAAAGATTAGTTGAAAAAGGTCAATCTTAGAATTTTGTCAATGCATAGCCTAATAAAAATAATAAATGTTTTAAGTACGTACACTGTTATGGAATTATAGAATTAAAAGGGAATAAAATAAATAAATTATAATTATATTTTTCTTCTTCTCATTAAAGATTTTGGTTGATGGATTGTCGACAAGTACCTGAAGTTACACGATATGCTACTGAGTTGTACCAGGAAGCTGTTTATGTGCCTTTTATGTCAAAATTTGTCATCTTTGCCAAAAGACACGATCCATACGAAGCTCAGTTAAGAGTATTCTGCATGACTGATGATAAAGAAGATAAAACCCTTGAATCTCAAGAGCATTTCACTGAAGTAGCTAAAAGCAGAGATGTTGAAGTAAGTTAGTTATACTGATACATTATTTATAATTTGCATGTTTTATATTTTTCCCCTTTATATATAGTTATTCCTTTCATTTATATTCATTAATAAATGATTTAGACTTCTGTATTGTTGAAATTTAGTGATATCAACAAACAGTTTATCCAAATCTGTCATATGGTTTAAAGGACTTACCTAATGCAAAAATATTGAATATTGAATGTTGAGAATGAGCAAAGCATGAGTAGTTGTCTTTTAGTTATTATTTAGCTTACTTTTAATTATACTTAATACGAGGCGTATTCGGAAACTAATTACCGTTTTGAAAAAAAAAAAAAATAGTAAAACAATTTTTTCGAATCCAATTTTATTTTTACATGAAAATACATGTCTTAAACTATTTTTCAACATAGTTTCCGCCAATGATCAAACACTTGTCATAGCGGGTGACCAGTTTTTGTATACATACCATTGTCAAAGAAACTTCCCGCAGTTTCGATAACCACGAGTCCACAGCATTTTCGTGTCATTGTCAGATCCAAAGCACTTGCCACCAAGTCGCGCTTCATGTGCAGGAACAAGTGATAGTCGGACGGCCAAGTCTGGGTTGTAAGGCGGGGGTGATCGAAACTGCTCCCAATGAAACTGTCGAATTAACGATTGAGTGATACCAGCAGTAGGGGCCGAGCATATGTCATGGAGCAACACAATCTTTACTGAGCATTCTTCTTGTTTTTTTGAATGGCACGCCTAGTTTGTTAAAGTCTCACAATATCATGCCGTATTAATGGTTTCACCTCTGGGAAGAAATTCAGTAAGCAAAACGCCTTTCCTATCCCAGAAGACAGTGCACATGATTTTTTGTGATGACATTGTCACTTTGAACTTTTGTTTTTTCGAAGAATGAGTGTGTCTCCGTTCCATCGATTGTTGTTTCGATTCTGGTGTGAAATGACACACCCAAGTTTCATCACCTGTCACAATTTGGTTTAAAAGGTTTTCTCCCTCAACACTGTACCACGTGAGAAATATCAGGGCACTACCAAGTCGTTTTGTTTTGTGAACATCAGTGAGCATTTTTGGAACCCATCGGGAACACAGTTTGCGATAATTCAAGCGGTCAGACACAATTTTGAACAAAACAGTATGTGAAATTGTGGAAATGCTCTGAAAGAGTGTCATTGTGAAGGTCTGTTCTCATGAATGCTTCATCAACTTTCCTACCAAATCATCGGGGACAACAGAAGGCGAGCATTGGCGTGGACATTGTTCGACCTGCATGAAACATTCTTTACCCACTTCTCACCGTTCTATCACTTATCGCGTATTCACCGTAAACTTCTGTCACTTGACGATAAATTTCGGCCAGTTTAACGTTCCTCACGTTCAAAAATTTAATCACGGCACGAATCTCACAGTCAACGGGAGAACTAATTGTCTTAAACATTTTGAATGTGCACAGCAAACTGAAAACACAACATAGAGCAACCAAAATGGCGACAATTGAAAGACAGTGAACGACAAAGACTAGTGCGCATGCGCGGGACGCCTATCACAGCGCTGCGACGGCACTAGAATGAAACGGTACTTAGTTTCCGAATACGCTACGTACATTATATTTTTTAATTTAATTTATTTGATGGATAATGTGGACTTTTGTGTCAAATTATGTTCTTTTAGAGTATCTGCTGATTTTAGAACCTGTGTTATATTTGAATTTTAAAACAATGAATGAAGATTAAAAAATGAGATTTTATCCTGTTGTTTAACTGATAATCGATTGAACAAAAATATTTAATGAACATAAAGCACAATGCAATAATTAAATTCCAGTATGGTAACAGTGGATTGAAACTTTATAATTATATTGGCTTAGCATTTGCAGTAAGTTAATCAAAACACATAGCTTTTATAGCAGTATTTTTGAAAGATAAACATTCAGAAGTATTATAAAGGCTTACAATATAATCATGAAATTTTCTCTTTTTCATTACTGAGGCCAGTTTTGACTTGTTTTATTGTATATCAGGTAAGGAAACATTATAGACATTTATACCAATTAATTTGGTGTACTGAAGTATCAGAAAAGATATGGTAATTTTACAAAAACACTGTTAGTTAATGTACTGAAACTGAATCAAAGCTGTTATTGCTGTGTTTAAGTATATTAAATACTTAAAAAAAAAAAAACAAAAAAAAAAAAAAAAGAACTTAGAGCTATTACCACTGACTTTCTTTTGACACGACTTCCTCTTTGTTAAATTATCAATTTGATCAGTTTTTTTATGACATCTATAGGTAATGATGGATTTCCAAAGTGAATCTTTTGTAAAACTGACTGTATGTTAAAATACAGAACCCCATTAAAAGTACTTGAATAAACTTCAAACACTACATGACAATGTCAATTCTATTTTAACTTACCATTGCTGTTATGTCATAAAGATCACAGATAATCTCTGTCAACAGGTAAGACACTTATCTGTAGACAGGCCTTCCATATATCTATAGTGACACCTATTTTCATGGTATGAAAGTGAATTAAAATCTTTGAATTAGTTCAATAAGATTTCCTCCTTTCTGTAAGCAATCATTGAGGCTTGGTGACCCTTTCAGTTTGGTAAAGGCATCAAATGCAGATCTTATCCTGGTTGTGCTATTTTCTTTGATGATGGGACAATGTGATTAATAATGTACTACTGGAATTTGTTGATCTTGAATGTTTTCTATTATCCCCTCCTGTAACTAGTTATGAAACACTTCTTCATATGCTTTAAACGATGCTTGTGACTTAAGATGTTGGATGGTAGTATTTAATCTTTTCAGCATTAGATCAAAATTGTTGGGTAGGGGAGGATGATTTCAGCCCAAGATAAATGTACCACATAACGATTTTCATTGACACTTAAAACAGTTTAAAAAAGTCTGGTATCTTCATGGAGCTCAGGTTTAGTTCTTTTTAGCATGTGCATCCATAATTCCAAGTAAGTTGCAGCATGCACCCCAATACAGTCCACCCAAGTCATGTCTCAGTTGTAGTTAGACCACAGAGTAACATTTTATACCCACCAGTCATAAGTTTTTGTGCTACATTGGCACCTGTTAAAATTTTAGTAGGGCCTTGATCGCTATCAGTAATACATATGTTATTGTCACATAGTTCTTTAGTTCAAAGTTCATGGATTACAACCAGAACAATTTCACAGATCACTGTCTGACTAGTACTTCAATTTAATACAAGTTTCAATTGTAAGTGTGGTGTATCGAGAACTTAATTATAATCGAACAGTGATAGATTTCATCAGTACTTGATAAATACAGTTTGAAAGTTTCATGTCTACACATTTTGGTGTTATTTCCCCCCCCCCCAAAAAAAATTTTTTTTGAAGGTACTCCTAACTTTCAGCTTGATAACCCATTTCTTTAGCATTTTTTTTTAAATACACATGAGTACTGTGAAGCAGAATCAATTATTATATTGCCTTTCATCATATCTTATTACCTTTTTAAATTACTATTAAAGTTTTCAACTTATTTTAGGGGTTTTGGACACATTCACGAGTGCATGATCTTTCTGGGAAGGGTTTTCTAACTTCTCTTATTTCCCCATTAGATAGTGAAGATGCAGGTTGTTGAAAATTTTTATACAGTAAAATGTCTTTCTGTCTGCAGTTCAAACAGACAGCCTTTACATTACATTTTCAAATTTGATGACCAGATTTTAAACATAAAAAACAGCATTGGAATTTTTTAATAAGAGTTTCTGTTTCTTTTAATGGATTTTTCCGACTTTAAAACAGTCCCAAGAATTATACAGTTGTAGAAACATTAGGTATATTTTTGGAGGTAGGAAAGATGAAAAATAGCAAGGTCCTTCGCCGGAAATTGAACCACAGACCTCTGGAATACTGGCCCAGTGTGCAGAACCACTACACCACGAAGGCACGCCAAGAAGGGGGAAAAAATACCTTACATACTCCCCTTTTTAAAGGGCGACTGGGGTTTTTAGGGAACCCAATCGCCAAATCCTGGGTGTGGAGAGTCATCATCCACAGCCCTTTTAGTTCGGGCACCACTGTAGAGACATTAGGTATATTTTTGGAGGCAGGAAAGATGAAAAACCAGCAACCGCCTTTGCCGGGAATCAAACCACGGACCTCTGGAATACCAGCACAGTGTGCAGAACCACTACACCACGAAGGCATGCCAACAAGGTGGGAGAAATACCTTACACAGCTTTAAACAAAATGTGCATGCTTTTTGTTTGTGTTGCTGTAAACAGATCTGCAACTGTTAACATGGAACTGAAATTAATATCGAATTTTGATCTAGCATCTTGAGTTTTACTCTGAAATTAGTCCTGTATTTATTTTCTAAAAATTTAGTATTTTTTAAAACTGTAGGAAGCAAGATTTATTCTTTCTTCTCCTTTATCTTGGGGAAATGTGAGAAAGGAATCAAAGTCACTTATCTCTATTGAATTTCATGATGCTCCCTTTTTGCATGCTGTGAGATAAGCAAATTAGGATCCTTATCAGTGTTTTGGAATTGACAAAAATGTGACCAATTTTAAACATCCCTATTAAACACTAGTAATTGTATTTTTGGAGAATGCAATTTTTTGCAATTTTTTTTTTTTGGTAAAAAAACTGCAATTTTTTCAATATTTTCTTTATCTGAAAAAAAAAATAATATAAATTGTTTAAACTTTTAGACACTGTAGAGATATCATGTGTGCCAATGATCAATATTTTTTTCAGATTCATCAGTTTCTCTCATGAATAACTATTCATCAACATTTTCAGTACTATGAAGTAACTGTTTCACCTTTTCCTCACAAAGTATAGATTTTTCTTAAATTAATTTTGATTTTGATATTTTTCCAGCAGCATCTAATTCATTTTCATCTCTTTCTTTATCATTACACAATTTTGTAAATAACCTGTGGTGTTGCTTTCTAACCTTTTGAAAAGTTTCCATATTATAAAGAGAAACTAAATTATTCAATCATTTCAAAATGAAAAAGGAAAAGTCCTTACAATTAATCAGTTTAAAAATGCAGATGTATCCTGTCTCAGGACACCAGATGTTAAATCATGAACATTGAATGAGTTTTTATTTTCTTCTTCATTTATTTCACTTAGCAAACATATGTAATGAACTCAGGTATATATACAGCTCTATGCTCTTATTTTTAAATTTAGCTATAAGAAAATATCAGTAATTTCTCATGCCCCATATGTACAACATGTGTAAGAAAAATATTTTAATGTAATGCTTGTTTTAAGTATTAAAGTCGCTTTTTGATTCACCGGTTTTTTTTTTCCCTCTCCAAAATAAAAATTTATGACATTTTTATAATTGTTTTTCAAGAGATACTTGCAAAAAAAAATAAGTACATAATATATTGAATATTTTTCTTACAATTTAAGTTTAAAAATAAGTGCATGGAGTGCACATATATCTGAGTTCATTATATAAATTTGTTATGTAAAATAAATGAAGAAGAAAATAAAAATTGCTTTGAAGTCGATAATTTAACAATCTGTGCCTCTGTTTTCAAGGTAGTGAAGGTGAAAAAAACATAAAGTAAGATGCAGCAGTTCTGAGAAATTCAAATGAAGAGTAAATTAATTGGAGATAAATTGAAAGTTTATAGTGACAAGTTGTAAAGAAAAAAGCTGTTGAGTTGCTAACTGGTCATATTAAGCAGTCATATTAGTATTTACTGAAATTAAAATGTGTTTATGATACTATATCCCCCCTACCATAATCATTGAAATCATAGTGTTTATGTTCATTTTAACTTTTAAAAATCATTTAATGAATACAAGGAGGAATATTGTAAATTTTAAGTTATTTGATTGCATATTGCACTGTAATATTTTATATGAATTTTTCTTTGTTTAAACTATATATCTTTAGTTAGCATTCATGTAATTTTGAGTAACTTGCAGGTTTTGCTTTCACACATAAATATTTTCATTACATACTGTCTGAACAATGCTTAGTTAGCTTTTTTTTTTTTTTACCTTTTCTTTCTTTTTTGGGGGGGGAAGAGGGCTTATGGGTTTATACATATTCATATGTAAAGGAATTATGACAATTTTTTGTGGTTTTCAACAGATCATAACATGTAAACTGACTTACATTCACTACAATAAGATTTTAAATTTTTGAACAAAAGTAATTACCAGATAATTATTTAATGGTATATGTCCTTTTCCAAATTAAGTATTCAGGAGAAAATCATTACGTGTCTTTATATGTCATTATATGCATTTATAATAACACTTATTTAATTAATATTTAGGTCCTTGAAGGGAACCTGCAGTATCTAGAATTTGCTGGCAATTTGGTTCCTGTGACAAAGTCAGGAGAACAACTGAAACTGACATTTCAAGCATTTCATGAGAATCGTTTACCATTTACAGTACGAGTGAAAGATCCCCATATAGAACCAATGGGTCGTATTGCTTTCATGAAAGAACCTAAAACTGCTCGGGGGGAACCTCCACAAGTTCCAATATGCAATTTGAATGTTGTCTTGCCAGATATTACACCTGTAAGTTCTGCCTTTTTTTTAAACACCATATAATGAAACAGTATTTGCTAAGTCAAATAACAGAAGTTTTTCTGTAATCATAAATATTTAGTCTATTGTGAAAGTGAATTGTAACATTTTAATTTTTAAAACTAAAAAAATTTTACTTTTTGTAAGTTTCTATTGAGATAAGTAGGCAACTGAATTTTTTCATGTAGTCAAACATTTTTTATTATTTTTTCTTGGTGTTTTATTAATTAGATATTTTATCTTTCAAAGTAATTCATTTATATTTCACTTGAAAATCCATAAAATTTAATGTGAAGTTTACACAGTATTTAAGAAGTTTTAAAGCAATAATAAAAACATACTGTATGAGTGGAAACTGTGACTAAGATGCAAGAATTAAGTAAGTGATTTAGCGAGACATGTAAGCATCCTATGTATGCTGTTTTTTCATTTTCTTTCACTATTTATAGTAATTCCTTACCTTGGTAAAATGTTAAACTATTGCAGTATATTTCTTGAAAAAATAAATGATCTCTAAAAGAATATAGCTTATTACATATTTTATTTTTGGCATTGCTTACATTAATGTTGCATACATTTTATTTTTGGTTATAACTATGCACTAAATGTTATTTTAGTTACATATTAATTATAATATTATTTAGTCATTATAATTAATTATATTGATTAAATACACTAAATATTATTTATGCTGAAAACATGGAGAAAGTACTGTAATATTTTCCACGTCTCAATATTCTGTACTCAATATTCTGAATTATTTCGATAAATAAATGCAACAAAAAATCAACATACAGTAGCAAATTTTGAAAATTTTCATTTAGTTTTAAATTTTATGAATGCATTTTTCATCATGATGTATTTTTAATGTAATGATTGACTTAACCTTTAATGCATGTTTATCTTTTATTTCTTTAGAGTGAATTAAATGCAGAAGCACTGGAAATGGTCACATTGGAGAAGCGATATGATTACATACAAGAAGCTGGTTTAAGTGAGTAATTACATAGTTCTCATCTTTAATAATTTTTAATTTTATTTATTATTTTTTAATGTGAACTGTATTTATACTGAATGTCAAAATAATTATGACGTATGGAGTTTTTATTTTCTAAAGAATATTTAAATTCCTTGTGCACCACATAGTATACAAGGCTTACAGTGGGGAGGGGGACGTTTCAGTACAAAATAAAATGAAGTTATAAATTCATAGATGAACATATAAGAAATAAATATATGGAAAAAAAGAGAATGCTATGTTGTGTTTTTAGCAAACACGTGAAGAGAAGGAAGAAACTTAATATTTAAAGAATTTAACTCAGAAATGAGTTCTTTTCTTCCTTCTGTGAGCTATGAACAGTAGAAAACAAATAACCAACATTTTTTACTCCCCTAAAGTTGTAGGAACACAAATATGTATCAGATAACACAAATCTCTTCAAATATGAATTAAATTACCATTAGTGCAGTTAGAAATTTAGCAGTTTCAAAATTGCAGGAAAAATGTCTGAGGAATAAACGGCAAATAAGTAGGAAAAGATAATTTAGTTACAGAAGTCGTAGAATAACATGAGAAGTCACAATTAAGTTATTACAGGAGAAGCTATTCATAAGAGAATATAATTATGAAAGAGAATCAGTGCAAACAAGAAAGTTACAGCTTAACAAACAGTGATTAGATATCCATTTAATAGGTTCACTAATGCACTATGATTCAGCTTGGAAAATGCTGCATTCATTGGGAATTTTAAAGAGTTTGTATTCCTGTTGAGAACCATGATGAAAAACAACATAAGCTAGACATATAAAATTAGCAACTTGATTGTTAATTTTACTGCCATCTGTATAACACACAACTGCGAAATTATCTTCAATGTAATTGTCATTAATTATAGTTTGTATTGGCAGATGATCAGCGATCAGGAAGATCCTCAAACAACATTTAGTATCAAATATAAGTTTCCTGATGCTATCTTTAAGCCCTTTGTTATGTAAAACATGGAAGATCAGTCAGGGGAACTCTACAATTACAAAACAGGCTTCATAGCTGTTTTGTAAGATAGCTGATTAATAGCTGGTTCATAGCTTCATAGCTGATTTGTTTGGCTTCATAGATTTGGGTATGGTTCTGCAACCACACCCAAATTTTAGTGAAATTCTTTTTTGAATTCTTTGAAGAATATGAGAATAAACTTTTTTTTTTTTTTAAAGCTGTCTCCTACATTCTAGAAGCATAGCAAACCGAAGGGGTTATATCTTACTTATAAATCATAACAGTAACATTAGATCTTAAACCAAAAGTATTGAAAGAGACATGATTAAGTCCTATAAAAGTAGTTTCAACTTTTTTTCATAAATACATAATATGACTTTTCCAGCAAAACTTTGATCCAGAATAATACCTAAATGTGTAATTTTATTCACTATTTCAAGTGCAATAATATCAAAGTACAATTGTTGAGTTGTACAACTGGCATGCTTTCTTTCAATTATCATAATTTTGTATTTATTTGGATCAAACTCGAACTTCTGCTCTGTAGATCGATCTGAAACTTTATTAAGAGGTATAGTTTATATTTTCTTCAGTGGTATTCTTATATAGGTCCAATTATAAAGTGTTTTTAAATAAGAAATAGAGCATTTTTTATGTCTCAGTTCTATATATGGGAGGATTCTCTGAAAGAAAATGTAATTTTTTCAAAGGTCATTGTGGATTAATAATTTCGATTGATAAAATATTCAATATGCTTTAATTAATTAATACAAAAAGTTCCATTTCTACACATAAAATTTATTTCATATGCATTATTATATATGATTAATAAAATTTATTTCATATACATTATTATATATGATTAATAAATTTGTAACAAGAATTCCCATTTTTGCATATAAAATTTGCAGACGCATGATTAATATTTCTGCATATAAAATTTTTAGACATATGATTAATAATGTCTTCATCAGAACCAAAGAGATAACTGCAAATTTGAGAAATCTTTTTATCTCCACGATCATATTCTTACCAAAATATATTTTATAGCTTCTCACCAGTGTGTTTTCAAAAGTCTTTAATTAATCTTTTTATGCAATAAAATCTTGACTATCTGGCATTTAGTTAATTGGAAAGCTGAAGAAACAAAATATTTTCAAATATTGGAATTTTTTTATTTTTAATTTACTATTCTTTTAAACAAAAACTTAGGCAAATGAGAGATTTGTAAAGCCTAAGTAGTATTGTTACTTGAAATGCAGCTTATAATTGGTGGCTATTGAATAGCCTTTGATGCCAATACTTAGCTGCAGCTGATTAGCAACAGTGTGTTCTTCTCTTGTAAGGAACAGTATGTGAAACTGTAATTAGTAATGCATCTGCATTTTTCTCTAAATATATTTATGTTTTTGTTACTCTTATGAAGAGTATTTTTTTCCTTAACACAGAACATAACTCAGTGAAGTCTGTTTTAACAAAAGTAAATGATCATAGTGTTTCCATAACAATAATATTTAAAATGGGGGGGAGGGGGAGTCCACCTGTGGGTCGGTTGCAGCCCTTCTAATTGCTTAGTCTCGCCCATTATGAAATCCTGTGCAATGGCTTGTCATCTCTTTCCTACCCGATTTTGTATGCAAACTACAAAAATCAACAGCATCTAGTGTTACATTGTATAGGTTCTGATGTACGCATGTCTATACTAGCAATCAACATAAGTTAAGCACACTAGATATTCTAGAAAGCATATGCATCTGATAAAGAATGTAGTCTTATCATTTCTAAATGTATAATTCTATCATTTCTGAGCCTTAATTTTGAAATTTAACCGGACATGTGCATATTGTTCAGATAAAAATCTGTTCAGTAAAGGAAACTTAGGGAACATTTCACCTCTAAATTTTTATTTGAAAATGAAACAGTATATACAAGTCAATCATTTGTTATTTGATAACCAACAGGAACAGATCCTCTTTTTGTTATATTTGTAATTTTTTTTTAAATTGTAATTTTAAAAAAGAATTCTGTTTGGGAGAAGTATTTCTGCTCGTGTCCTGCAAACAATGTGGGCATTCAAAAAGACTGTCACAGCCCTGCTTGTATGATGCATTTTTTGGGTCGCAGGTTAAAGTAGTTGCCCGCCCTTGATCTAAAACAGCATTTTCCAACCCGTGGGCCACGGGCCGCATGTGGCCCTCTTATTCATTTTGTTGGCACTTGCCCTTCTTCGCTGAAGAAAAATGTTAGTTAAATATTTGGAAAAACAAAAGACCTTTCTTACTGCTTTAAATAATAAATAACAAATATAAATAATTATATTAAATATAATAATTAAATAATAAAAATTATAAGGCTCACACAATGAAAATTGTAAATTTGTTAAGGGGAGGCAAAGCCTAGAGACGCAGAGCATTTATTGCATTTGCAGACAGTTTGAATTTGCGCTGTTTGGCAGTACATAGGCGTGTGAAAGTGCTTTTTCTGCTCTCAAACAAATTAAATCAAGAGAAATCGCATTGAAAGTGCTTCACTGGAATTGACCCTGAGACTTTGTCTTACTGAAATTACAGTGGACATTGATAAACTTGTATCAAAACAGCAGTGAAAATCATCACATTGATTTCTAGACTGTACAATAAAGTGATATATTAAACTAGTGATTTGTATGTTATTCATTTTCTTCCTTTAATGTCTCTGGCCCTCAGTCTCCTATACTAACATCTGATTGGCCCTTGGATGTATAAAGGTTGGACCACACTGATCTAAAATGTGAATACAATTACATAGCTGTCTCTCAGAACATATTGATTAACTCTTTCCCCATCATTGTATTTGTTATCGATAAAGTATGAAACACTAGCATTCTATAGATTGCCTAGGCATTGTATATAATGCCAGATGATTTTATGCAAAGTATGAAACAAGAGAATTATTACATACTTTACATAGGCATTGTATATAATACCTAGGCATTCTATAGATAACAGATGCTATTTGGGCAAAGTATGAAAAAAATGTTTTGATAAGGCTATTATTTAAAAGACATTCATTCCTCTAAAATACAAATGTTGTTTTGAAAAATTAATGAAAGAGTGCCATTAAAAAACTGTTCTTCGAAATATGTAAAAAAAAATAAAAGATAGTGAGGTGATCTTGATACAGCGTAATAAATTTGTATTTTCTATCTGGCTGAGATTGGGAATCAGTAAGATCCACCTGACAACAGAAGTTAAATTCAGAAACAATCATAAGTCTCACATCAGTGCCCTTTTAAATACCTTTTTGTTTTTTCTGACAGGGCTCACAAAATGGTTGTTACAGTTCAATATCATTACATGTAACGTTTTTGTAATTGGTTGAAAGTTTTTTCGGCATTCTGTCATGTCCTTCGTGTGCAGTACTCAAATGAGTTTTCATGAAATACAGAAAATAACTCAGCGTCCGTGATGCAATACTGCATAGTACTGATGCTTGCTTGAACAGGATAAATGAATGTACTTTTATTTTCCACAAACATCACAACCTAGAGATTCAGCAGTCAGTAGTACCGTGGTTCCTTCTTAGTCATTTTGACCTTTTTATGTCATTTATTAACTTCTGGTAAGTAGTTTTGAATAGGAAGTGTATTTTATACTTTTCCGGTTTGTCATTCTATAGAATGTCGAATTTCATTACTTTACTGGTAACATATCCATTGTATTGTTCCAAGACTTCATCCTTTGAGTTGGACATTTCTCATCGAAAAGAAAAAGGGACAATGAGAGATTCCAAAGCTCAAGATGGGCACTGAACCTGTCTATTGCAAGAACTACTTTCACCAGTATGTTTAATACCAACCATTTTTGACAAACAAAAACTATTACCAAATAGTATGATTCAGCACCAACAATGCATAAGTGTGACATAACAATACAATGATAAGATCTTTGCCTTGGCATAATGTAAACCTGATTATTCTAGAAAAGCCTATTTAACCTTTATAAAGAATAATGTAAGTTAACTATTTTTCAATTTTCCATTGCATCTTGGAAAAATAGGTTAACTTTGTGACTTTCCTTCCATGTAATAATATGCAGTTAAGTATTTTTAAAATTATGCGATCCTAGCATCAATGAAACCATGCATTAATGGAAACAATATGTCACTTTATTTGAAAACAGATTAAAAATGACAACATAGTTTGAAAACTTATGATAAGCAATTGAAGTTTTTAATATGCTATATCCTTAACTTGTAACCATTGATTAAAATCCTTAATTTGTAACCATTGCATCCAAAAGTTATCTAATAATTAAAGAACAACCTTTTGTTTAAAACTTTTGTCAGAATGATTGGTACATGTTTGGCAATATCTATTTTGACTTTCATGGTTGATAGAATTTCATTTAATGACATAGAATTTCTTTTGTTTAGGTAAGTAAAATGTAATATAATAAATATTTGACCACTTAGAATTAATGCTCTGCTAGGAACAGTATATAAAGTGTTAGATAGATGAATGTTTTTTCTTATTCAGCTTTCCCCACTTCAGTCTTGAGAGTTTTCATAAAATGTAAAATGCTGCTAGTTAGCTTAATAAGCTAATTTTTATTTGGAAGTTGAAAAAAAAAATAAATAAATAAAAAAAAAAATAAAAATAAAAATAAAAATAAAAACTATGTTTTCTTGATTGATTTCATTTCATATATTTCATTCGTAAAGAAGGCACTAAAATTAAATTCAGGTACTACAGATTTCATCCCTAAGACATTTTGCTGTAAACCTTTTGAGAGGGAAATTTTATGCAATAGAGTAAAGTAGATTGGGCTGTAGATAAATAAAAGACTAGAAAAAACATTAAAAAAGAAACAAATCTGGAACTTTTTGATGAACCAATTGTAAATTCAGAGTATTCTTTGAATTGTTTTGAAAAATGCCATAAAAACAATTATAATCTAAAATATTTTTTAAATGTTTAACAATTTAGTGGTGTTGGTTTAGAGCTGGAAAAAAGATTAAAAACTAATATAATTTTTTTGTACAAGTTTACTCTATAGTTTATGACAAAAGGTTTATAATAAAAGTTACACAATAAGTAATAATGGTTTTAAAATTTCCTACCATTATCATTTTTGTGTTAAGTTACTTAGACAGTGTTGATGATCTTTTTATATATCTCATTATCTTAGGTAAACCTGAGCTTATTCATCGTGCTGACTTACGACTGTCAGATATAGCACGAGAACTTGACAAAGACTGGTTGAAGTTGGCTCAACAACTTGATGTCACAGAAAATGATATTGAACAAATAAAAGCTGAGATAACATATGATCAATCTGAACAAGCTCTCATGATGTTAAGGTTGTGGCTACAAAAGTCAGGATCAAAAGCCACTGGTAAATATAAATTTTATTTTCTACACCTAACTCATAAAAATATTTAGCTTATTGATAAATGGTAGTTTTATTAAATTTCTGGCATTTCAAAATTGATTTACTGGAGTCTTTTTCCCTGCTTTCAACCTCTTCAGAAAACTTTACTGAACACTTCTGTTCTACAAAGGCAATATATTTAAATAAATCTCCATTTCTTAAATGGGATTTAAACCTGAAAATAGCAGTTAGGCGGTTAACTTTACACAATGAGGATGTATCAGAGGCTTATTTATACTGTCTATAAGGAAACATATATACATTTTTTACATCATATTGGATCACATAAAAGTTATGTAACCTATTGAAACTCATAAAGAAATTATCATCAGTGTTTAGAAATGTATTTCATAAATTTAAGTAAATCTTAACTTTTTAAACCATCAATATGTAAAAGATTCAAACAATGTGGCCACTTAATGCGATACAAACAGAGTAATGCAAGAAACTAAATACAGGAAAACAAGTAGTTTTGAAATGGTTACATAATCCCACCTTTTGTATTGTAATATATAGTATATGTTATTATATTGTAATATAATACAATAAGAAATAAGATTTTAAATCCTTACAGCAGATAAAACATTAAAAAAAAAAAAAAAAAAAAAAAAAAAAAAAGAGAGAGAGAGAGAGAAAGGAGTTTGTCAAGTCTCTTAGGAAGAACAATTATTATGTCCTTATCAACTGTGCTTTGAGTACAAATCTGGCTGTTTCTGAACATGAAACAATCCTTGCTTTGGTAATATCCTTAGCATTGTCCAGTGAAATATATCTCGGTATTAAAAAAAGGTAGAACTTACCACAAGTTAGAAAAAAAAAGTATTTTTTACATTTCACCCAAAGGGTCTTTTTTTTTAACATTTTGTGTGTTACCTTTATTTATTAAATATCATGTTAATTAGGTATTCGGGATGACCATATTCGGTGGAGGATTACGTTATTCAAAATTGGATAGCTCTAGGTACCGTTGTTTTATCACAATGCAAGAAACATACATACATTTATGCAGATTCTTCATTATTTAATTTCTTTAAATATAATACAGGGTAGTAGCTTTTGGTGGCACCAATATGAAAAGTTAAACAGACATTTAAAGTTTTTGATGCAAAATGCCAAAATGAAATTAGTAGCCCTTCTTAGCTAACAACCTTTGGGCTAAAAATTATTTCTAGATCATGAATTCCTTCAACTACAGAATCAAACTGAAACAAAATTGTGTAGGAATTATCCTTGTCGTGTGAAAAAAAAAAAAAAAAAAAAAAGAATGCAGCTGAATTCAAATGGTCGCTTTGTTAAATTTCTATGAAGTTGTGGGTTGCATGCCTTCAAAACAGTGCTGTTTTGCACTCTTATATACATTTTTACTTTGCAAATCTCATAATTATGAGCGTTGGCTATAGTAAATAGTAAAACCTAGATTCCTAATAAGGCTCCTTAGGCTCTTAAACACGTTCAACGTGAAGTCTTATACTTTCAGACAATGTTTTTTCTTGATGAATTAATAAATTTACTTATATAAGTAATACATATAGTTATAGACATGATTGTAATTATATGCCAGTATCAAGTTACTCATTAAAACTTAATTCAAGAGGATAAAGATATTACAGTGGTCTAATGATGCACTTGCCAGCAACAAGTAGTTTAACCATGCATCTCTTCCCGGAAATAGCTCAGTAACACATCCCAGTGACCAGATCAGACCTTTTGTGTTGTTGCAACCAATAATTACTATTTCACCAGGAGCAGTTTTTTAATCTCCGTAAACATGCTTCAGGGTTGTGAAGAATTTCACTCGGATATTCTTGCTGGAATTGCTGTCGTAGATTATTTCTTATAAAATGCAAGTAACAAGCATGTTTCAAGAGATGCTTTGAGTCAATTATGTCCAAATTAGTCATAATATTCTGCTTTATGTCCTGAATAAAATATATTTTTGTTATAGCTGTCAGTTCATTGGGATCATCTGAAAGACATGCTAAATATCTTCTATTTGTAGCATATTAACATTGTAAGATATGAAGTTTTTCGTAAATTACTAAAGCCTTTCCCAAACATTTCTTTTAAAATGGCTTAACACTATGTGTCTGGTGTCAGTATAAATACATCAAATCAGAAGAAATAATCCATTCATAAAATTCAAACATTTATTTGAAGACAATCACAAATGAGAATCATTTACCTCTCCTCAGATGAATATATAATATTTCTAAAACTTCATAAAATCATATTATTCAATAAACAAGTTTAATATTTTTCTAGTAAAGTTTCTTTCAGATGCATCTCAAAAATTACTATAAAAATAACATTTTCTTGCTCTTGATACCCTTTAATCACACAACTCTTATCTGTAAATGAAACAAAATTTTTGAACTAATAGAAAAAGATAATTCAATCTGTTGCCCCTAAAGCAAGTGAAACTTAATTAAAACTACAAGATTATATTTATACTCTCACTCACATAATAAATGGGGAAATGTGAAGATGTATTTGCCAACGCTATGAATCATCCTCTCCATCCTCCATACCATGGCACATCGGGAGTACTAAGTTTCCTCTTTGTCTATTGTAATGCACATTTAATTTGTATCTGATCCCAATCAAAAGAATGAAGAGCCTTTGATATCTCAATGAAGTTACTACCATTATCAGTATAATTGTCAAACTTCTTCCTCATCTGGCAAAAAATCTTCAAAAGGCTTAAATAAAAGGCTCCATGGACAAATTTGTAGCCAATTCCGAGTAGATTACTCTGTAAACTGCACGTGAAAATAACACAATCCATACTTTAATTCTTTGTTGGAGATAAACAGGGCCAGATAAAGTTGTTGGAGATAAACTCCCTTTACTTCAAATGATGCAACTCATTTAATGCTGTCCACATGGTAATGGAGCAATCTCTTGTATTACAGGCATAGTCAAATTTCTTTTACAGATTGTACCTTTGTTAACCCCTTAACTGCCACAAGTGTATATATACACCCTTCCAAAATACTATCATTTGCTTTGTGCTGCTACCCGTAAAATTATTCGCGAAGCTTTGGAATGCAACACTACAATGACCTTGACAAGGTATGCAAAGGAGGATACTATTTCAAAGAGGGGGGAGTTGGAGAGGGGGATGTTTGCTGTGAAAGTAATGACTACGCGGTATTGGCTGGTGTTGTTTGAGTAAAACGTATTTTTTTTAAAATTCTGTGCCTCTGTTTTGTTTACTTTTGTAGTAGGGTTCTAGGAAATAAAGAGATATATGGGTGTTTCAACCCATTATCTTTTTTGAATATTTTTGATGAAACTGCTTGGGCTTCATATTGTTACTGAAACTAACTGTTTTGTAGACGAGTATATGAACCAACACCTTGCAAACGAAAAATCAAGAACAAAATAATGGCATTCAACAAGTTCAGAAAAAATATGTGTTTCTTTAGACATACTGATTTCACAAGGTATAACACTGAAACCTGATACTATTACACTTTACTGATCTAAAAATGGATTGATCGAAACTCTATTTTAGGGATCTTTTTTATTATAAAAACATCATTTTTACTATACTTACATCTTTTATTATTTTTACTCAAAACATAAATTTGTGATTCATTTTTTTCTTTATTCTTTATTTTGTGAAGTAAACAGTTTTTAGAAAGTAAAACTTGCACTTATTTTCCCCCTAATACATCGCATAACTACGTGCGCCTGTGTGAAAAACCATGGCACTGGGAAATGAATCTTGTATGTTTTCTGCGGCAGTTAAGGGGTTAATAACTTCTTGGACTACCCTGCAACCTCAACGAATCCAAAGCATTCTCATAAATAATTTAAAATTACTTGAGCACCTCCATTTCATTGTTTTATGGAAATGACAATCATTAGCCAAACAATAGGATGATCTGAAAGTACTGTTGTTAATTGGAAGTTGTCAGAATCATCCCCTAGTATTAATCTACTTTTTACCTTTAAATACCATCATTTTTAAAACATTGAATTGATTTTGTGTATTTTTCTTGACATTTACATGACTATTCAAACAGAATAATTCATGTAATAGCTTTTTCTGCCATTTCCAACTCTTGGCCAGTAAGTTCACCTGCAAATTTAGAAGATCCTCTTTTTGAATTATGGCAAATTCCTGTCATTCAAAGGTTTATAATGTTCTGGAAAAAAAAAAGAGAAAAATTTTTTCCTGTACTTTTTTTTTTTTTTTTGTATCAATATTTGTATTAGCAACAACTGTTTTCCATCGCTGTAATAGCGCTTCATCAGAAAGAGCAATATTTACTCATGGCCAGTTTTCTCTAGATTCTCATAACCAGTTTGGTCCCACTACTGACTCTGCAAAAGTTCAAGCCAGCCACAAGAACATGGTAGCAAGTCTGCTGAATTGAATTCTCCAGCTTTTAATTTATATATTTCTTTCACTCGATTACTGACAAACATACTCCAAGATTTTTTTTACTCACAATCCAGTGAATCTGTTCAGTTAATAAAACAGCATTTGAGTCTGTTCAGTTATATATCTTCAGTAACAACTGGAAAGCTTAAATTTTTTCTTTTCCTTGCACCAATTGTAGCTGCTAAAAGTTCCGGTCTTGGAATTGTTAGTTTTTATGTAGGCATTACATGAGAGTAACTGAACTGATATATGAGTATCATCTTCACAATGTAAAAATGTACTACAGGCATGAGCATAAGATGAGATCTCAGTAAATATATGCAAACTAGCTGCCTTGTGTTCCCTTCATATCATTTTAAAAAAATCATGCATTTGCTCAGCTAGATTTGTATTTTTTATCCATTTCTTATAACAAAACTGAATTTATAAAAGCAGTGCTTCATAGCACTCTCTTTTGTCATGCCAAGCTTAGAAGAATTTAATTAATAATAATGCTGCAGATGTAAAATCAATGGGATCATAAATGCTGTTTATCACAGACAGCACTTTCCTTTTTGTTATAGTGTAGAGTCAATAGTACTTTTTGAAAGCAGAAGATGTGAAAAATGTGCTATGCCCTTGGCGGGACTCGAACCTGGACCTCTTGAATAGGCACCAAGTGTGCTACCATTACACCATGAAGGCATGCTGAAAGGAGGGGGAATACCTCATATATTCCTCCTTTTAAAAAGAGCATCTAGGGATTAGGGGACCCAGTCACCAAATCCTGGTGGTGAAGAATCATCATCCATCACCTTTTGGTTCGGGCGCCACTGTAAAGTCATTAGTAGTCATTCATTGTAGAGTCAAATTTATATTTTTCTCATGTATGCTTATCTATTATGACTGTGGGAAAGTTTTCTCTAGGATGCAACTCTTTCATTGAAACAAATCAAATTCCATTAAATCTAATTTAGGTAAAGTGAAAATATCATTGGTGTCCATACATATATGTATTAGAAAATATGGATATCATTAGTTTGATGAAGTTAGCATAGTTAGTTTTGATCTCAGTGAGTTTACCCCTGTATATTTCAGCAGTATCAAATTCTATTTTATAATCATTGAATGATGATAGATCAGTATCTACTTTAAATAATATTTCTGCTTAATCAACAACTTTATTGTATAAGATACTTAAATTCTTACCCATGTTTGGCATAGAAATAAAGCATCAAATTCTTTACATGCACTATTATTTGTAAGTGAATGCTGAAACGAGTTTGTTCCATTTTATAATTTATCTACCGCTAATTCTTTCTCACCTTCATTCATCATAAAATGATTTAAAATGTCCTGTCCCAGACACTGATGCTGAAACTCATAATGAATTAAGCTCCTTAAAAGTCTTTTGTTTATTTAATATAAGTTAAATCATAGAAACATAAATGTTTCAACTATTAGCACATAAAAGATTAAAACAGTGTTGCCACTTAATGCAGTACACAGTTATATAAGAAACTAAATACACACACACACACTCACAAAGGAGTTTTGAAATCGTTACAACATACATAACTAGTGAATCAGAAATTCTGAACAAAGTAATACATATTTATTGATATGACTGTTGAAACCACCTGCTTTAAGTACATTAAAAATCTTGTTCATGATTTTATACTTTAATATTTTTTTGAATGTCTGAATTTTTTGTCAATTTTCAAACAACACATTTTATCTTTAGCAACTGCTTATTTGATTCTCTAGTAGTGAACCAAATTTTTAAAATATATGTTCATAAATTTGTAATATCATAAACTTGAAAATATTTCAAATCATAGCTGTGCTTTAAGCTGTTACACATACATTATGAAAGCAGGTGTATTTCATAAAATCTTTGTAGTATTATAGTTTATGTATATGCATTAAAATTGTATGTATTTTTTGCAATCACTTATCTTTGAATTATGTTTATCATATATTATTTTGGAAACATTATTATGTTTCAATATCATTAAAGTAATAATTTTTCACATTATCTGTTTGATACATTAAAAGCTAAAAAACTAATAGAAAGTTTGGGAGGTATAAAATAGTATACCTAAGTAAAATTTCAAGGAATTTCGTATATTACATACAGTATTTGATTACTTATGTTCCTGTGTGTGTTTTCTTAAAACAGGCAATGAACTTGAAAAAGGCTTACGAAAAATTAATAGAGAAGATATCATAAAGAACTGTATGTTCAATGTGGAACTGGTAACTGATGATGTTGAGAAAGCAGTTGCTAAAGTTCATCTTGATCAATCAGGTAAATTAAAAATATTTCATACTGCAATATTTTTAATAATTCTTGATAAAAAAGACTTTTGTAATTCATTTTTTTAACATTTATGTGGTCAAAGAAAATACATATATCAAAATAAGTTTTGCTAGAACCTTGAATGCTGTTTGGTAGTTTTATTTCATATATAGTAAACCCTTATTGAGGGCAGATTTGTGGTGTTTGTTCATCACATTATCTTAATTATTTCAATTTGATTTGCCCAATGCTAGAATTTTATTCATATGTGATTCAACAATCATTCATCAAAATTTAATTCTTGCTGGCATCTGCCCTGGCCAGAAATTACCAACAATTTTAAAGGATTTTTGTTAACTGAAAGTGAAGAGAAAGAAATTGTACAAATGCAAAATCAATTGCTGGGGGAGAATTTGCAGGTATGGAAGAAAGGAAGATCATATAATTAATCAAGAAATGATGAATGAAGAACGGGATGATCTTATAGCACCAACGGACAATAAAACCAATGATAGTGAAGAAGATAGAGTGCCTTTACCTTCCAAGAAATTAAATAAATTTCTAAAACAAAGCACAGGAACTGTGCTACAATCATTGTTGAATCAAGTAAGGTAGTAATACCACAAAAGTTAGAAAAGTATTTGTAATATTTATCTAACACCATTACATATATGTAAACACCAGAAGTGGTTTGTGAGGTTCAGGTCAGGTAATTCTGAACTTTATGATATGCATCATTCAGGAAGACCAGTGTCTCTTGATAATGATGTTTTATCAGCAGAAATGAAAGTAGAACCTTGTCTAACAGTCAGAGAGTTATTAAACAAGCTTGACACACCTTTTCTGACTATTCAAGAACTTTTGAAACTGACTGTTAATGTTGACAGAGAAGATGTTTGGGTTGCAAATACTTTGCCAGAAGAGAACAAAGCTAATAATTCAATCACCAGTAATTTATTGTTGAAAGGGCATAATACAGAAGCTTTCCTTGATGAAGTGATGAATGGAAATGAGAAATAGATCCTTTATGCTAATCCCAAGTCTAAAAGACAATGTCTCTTTCTCAGCCAAATTCCACTAATTATCCCAAATCCAGGCCGTACACCGTAGAAAGGTGGCGGTGCCTGTCAGTGAAAAACCTAGGGGCATGTCAAACCATAACTGCAGACAGTTAAAGTAAGCCAAACTTTGTCTGAAAAGCATCTAGCCCTTTTTAAAAGAAAAACTTTTAACAGCACCATTCTACAACATGACAAGTCAAGACTATGCTCTGTAAAAAAAGACTCTGGATAAAATCAAAAAATTAGGATGGAAGGTATTACCTCACTCACCTTATTAGCCTGACATCATATTCCTTAACTATCATTAATTTAGATTGTTACAACATCTCTTGTGTGGAAAGAAGTTTTGAAATGGGTAAGAAATCAAAAATGGAATTTCCAGTTTATTTGATCAAAAACCTACACCTCAAGAATTAAAAATTTGCTGATTAGCTGGAAAAAAACTCTCTGATAAAGAGGGTGATTTCATCATTCACTCAGTATATATATATTTACTAAAAAATATTGATTATATTAGCTCCTAATATAAATTTAGTAAAAGTATCAAAAAAGAGTGAACTCATATGTAGGAAGTTTAATTCCGAAAATTGTGTTTTAAAATAACTTGAATGAAAATTATTAAAAATGTTTTACGGGGACTTGAATTAAATCATGAATAACAAAATTTCAAACTTTGAAAACGAAATTAAATTAAAAGTAAGTAATTATCGCTACTGATCAGAACACCTTCGCTTTTATGCATGTTATTATTTGCTACTGAATTATGGAGAAGAAAATATAATATTGTTATATGTTCAACATTCCCCATTAGTACATGGTGAATGTCGACATTGACCAGTGTAAGTCAGAAATAAAAGTATTTGGAAAATATTTCGGACATACACCAAGAGACTATGTGAATGTTGACATTCGCCAGTGAAAGTCGACATTCTCCAGATTTCGGTCTTTCACCGTAACATATATATTATAAAATTGTTTTAATTTGATTAAAAATACAACATTTCTTTCCAGTGCTCCTTACATGTAAGTATCTTCAAAATATTATAAATGTTTATATGAAAGATTATTAATATTAGTACAGTCAAAAGTCGTTAATCCAGACTCGTCGGGACTTCGGCGATTCCAGATTATCGATTTTTCCGGATTATAGATCATCAGTTTAAATCTCATAAGATGGCATGCAGAAATTCTAAAATTAAAATTAAAAAATTAAACCGTAATTTATGAAATAAAGAACAATTATGATCTAAAGGGTATCAAAATTACAAAAAAAAAAAAGCTTAATATTTATTTGTTTACTTTATTAAACATTTCTTTCAATGAAGTTGTTTTAAGTTGCTTCGTTTTATGTGATAAATTTCTCTTAATTCTATAAACAGACATAATTTCTTGTTCAGTTACAAAGTTCCGCTGTTCAAGTCCCATAATTGCTGTGCCGAGAATACCGACTAACTTGTCAATCGAAATTTTTTCATTTTCACTAACCTCTCTGTCACCTTCTTTGTGTCTTTATCCATTTTTTGCAGCAATTCCACTTATTGTTTGATGGACATCAAAACATACTTTCGTTTTGTAGATCCTTTGGGAGCTCCAGCATCGGAAATTCTATTTGACATAATCGAAAGTTCAAGTTTACTTTTATAAAATTGCTGTTACAGTCTGCAAAAAATAATAAGCTGGATCCAACTTGAAGATTAAGGAGCAATGCAATCATTAACATTAACTGAAATAGATAATTAGATTTTAGCTTAACCATCCGTTACACAAAACACACACGGAAAATGTATTCTGAGCTTGCGCACAGCATTGCGCAGTCAAACGTCTTACGCGCGGCGTAAAACGCTATGCGCAGAAAGTTTTTAGCTTTGAGGTCGGATTAGATCATTCCGGATTATGGGTGTCCGAATTAGGGACTTTTGACTGTATATCTAAATTATAATAAACAAATGAATTAACATACTTTTTATGTTTTTAAATTAAATGTAAAATATTATGTAAAGTAAAATGTTACAAATACTGTTTAGTATGTAGAGAAGGTATAGGCTAATAACATAAAAAGAGAAGTTTTTTATAATTTATTTCAAAATAATTTTGACCATTTTATCCCTTTTGCCTTGAAAAATTATGTAACAGAATGTTCTCACATTAACATTGCTTAGGTTTTGATGTCTTCAAAGAAGAATTAGGGTCATCTCGAGAAGCATCTATGAGACGAGGAGCATCTTTGGACATATCCTATGATGAACAGGATATAATGAAAGTATGTCATTATTGTTTCATATCCAAATGTATTTCACTTTTCTTACATCATTTGTAAAAAATCATGGAGATACAACTTGAATAAATAGGTAACCATTTATACAATATGATAAAAAAACCTTAAAGGAGAGATACCAACATCAAAAAAATTTTAAATGAATCAGCTTTTTTCATGAGAAAAATTGTGCATTATGCATTAGAAAAGCCTTCTTCAGTCACCCTCTACAAATGAACGGGGGATGAACTTTTAGTGCTTAGCGGTCTTACTTAGGCCGCCAATGTGTTGAAGGCTTCGGATTTCTAGATTACACATCTTATCTGATTTGAAAATTGCTTTTCTTACTTTAGTAATATATCATTCTGATTTGAAAATTGCTTTCCTTACTTTAGTAATATATCATTATCTTCTGGAGTTAAAGGAGTTATTATACAAGTATATTTCCCAAGAATTTATATTCTTGGATAGCTGAAAGTAACCTTCAACATATAATTACTTTATCATAATCTGTAAATAAATGTCTGTTTACTGTGCTTAATTAACAAACTCCCCCCCACATTTACTAGGAAGCAGAATCTCCTGCTGAGACAAGTAGTGAAAAAGGATCATTGTTTGAGAGAGATCAGTTATCTCAAGCTCTACAGATGAAAAAGGTAATGTTGCTTTTTAAAATTAAAATTGAAAAGTACTTTTTTTAATGCCTTAACAAATGTTATAATTTTTATGCTAGCTTTCTGCATAGCTTGAATAATATACTGGAATGCGGTGATGCAATAGATCTAGTCTTGATCATTAAAATAATATAGAGATATTAAGTGCAACAAAGTTCTATTAAAAATTATTAGAAACTGAATTGGAATATGGACGTATATAAATACATACCCAATTTAAAATTACTTAGCCAGGTGCTTTAAAGCATACGTCAAACAAAGTGATTTTTTTTTTTTTTTTCATTTGCATTCTTAAATATTTTAGATTAAAAATTTACTTTATTTTAAGTGTACTGTTCTTATGATGTGCAGAGAAAAATTTTATAGATTGTGTTTCTTATTTTAGCTTATTTTTAGTAAATGATTGTTCAAGAACCTTTGTCAGTTTTTCATAATATACAGTTATCCCAATTCTGCGCTTTTATTGTGCAGTGTTATAAAACCCAAGGCTGTGGAGCATAGTGATTGGAAATAATTTTTGCTAATCAAATAAAATTAGAAAACTGAATGACAAGATTATTTGAAAACATGTCCATAATAGCATGTGTTGTTTACCATGTATTTTTATTGTTGTTGTTGTGCTCTTTCTACCAAAAATGACAGTTTGGATATGCCAAGACATGCGTAAAAAGAGTTGCAAGTTGTGTTCATATTACAGCATTGTCAGCAATTCTGGCTGAATATTGGTCACGAGACTTATAAGTGTTTTGCTTTAACAGCATTTCAGAGGGATTCATGAGAACTTATGAGCAACTTGGACAATTACATATGCTCTAGAACTTGAGTGTTTATTAAGCTATGCTTGAAGGGTAGTCTCCTCTCTCTCTGTATATATATATATATATATATATATATCAGTAATTCTCAACCTGTTTTTCCCAGTGCACACCCCCTTGCATCATTTCTAGATCATTCTGCCCTTCCTTTCCAAAACTGAAAAGAACTGAAAGAAATATATATACATTTATTTACATTCATTTTTTAATGGTTTTTCTAAATACAAAAAGTATAGAAAGGTTGATAAATATCAAAGTTGAATCATATATTTATATTCATAAACTAAACTAACGCTAAATAAAAATGACTGCATTGCCCCTCAAAGCGTGACGTACTAGTTTAACGCAACCAGCCAAATGCATAAATCGCCAATTGGCGAACCTACTTACGGCAACCCTACGTGTTATACGTAGTTTTTCGTAAATAAATTATTCTTCTTACTGGTTAGATTGAATGCTCTGAAATACTTTAACTATGGGTATTTAGGATCTGCCCGCGAGTGAAAAAGGATGCTGTTGAATTGTTGCAGGGATATGGAATTATACCGAACGAACGTATTTGTAAAAATTCTCATAAAATGAAACTGTATTTTGGAAAGCAAATCTTCTCGAAATGTAACGTCGAAGAGTGCAATCAACAGTTGGGTGTGAGAACCGGAAATTGGTTTGAAGGTAGCCGAATTTCATTTGACAGCGGTGTGCTTCATTTAGTGTTGTGTAAAGAGTTTACCTCATGAATTTGTCAGAAGAGATGGGAATTGCTGACAAAATTGTTTAGATTGGAATAATTACATGCGGGGAGATACTATGTGCCCTTGAAAGGATGAAAAAGAAGAAGCAAATAGGCGGAAAGGAATAACTACACTTAGTAAATTCGAACCGAAGGGTTATGCTATTTATATTTAAAACAAATAATATAAAAAACTGTATTAAAAATTATCGTATTAAAAATTACATTTATTTCTATTTATACTTTATCAACTACAACGCGCCAACTGGTGGATAATACGTAAGTCGCTTGACATCCCCCCCCTGGTTGGTCTTCCTGCTTTATATATATATAGATATAAGTGGATATTAATTGTTATATATAATATGATATCATAAAATATATATATAAAACAAGCAAGGTAGTAGTACCATACGGTATGACCAATTTGGTTTAGAAAAATTTTGCGCAATATGCTGCAAAATAGGTAAATTAGAAATTGTAGTAAGCTCGCCTAAAAGTTACCAGGAGCTGTGGCTCCAAAAAGTTCAACACACGCACATATATATATATATATATATATCCCCTTTTTTAGTTTGTTCTCTTTTCTTTAATTATATATATGTGTGTGTGTCCACGAAACTTACCTGCTGGTTATTTTTGCAACCATTGGTCATAGACTTATACTTCCTATCACAAAACTTTGAAAGGATACAAATATTTGTATTTGGCATTTTAATAGTTAAAAGTTTTGTAAAAATTACAAAGCCTAAAATTTGATATGTTCTTATAATCAGAGAAATTTGTACCGATTATTAAAAAAATCACATACAGATCAGATACTTTGGGTACTGCAAATTTGATATGAAAGTAGCAGATCATATTCAGGGCCATAAACAAATTGAAGAGTGAAATGTTTGCATTTATATGTAATTAAAAAGAAAACACCAGTTAAGAGAACATATTTATGTTGTAATAGATTAAGTAACAAGCATTTCTGTGCAGAGAAAGGTATTGATCAATATAATTTTTTTCAAACCAGATCTTATTCTCTGATTCTTGGAGAACATGTGTTCTAGAAAACATTGGAAAGTTTCAGTATTAGCACATGACCAGTTAGCAACATTATTTTCATTAATTAAAAATAAAAATGTTTTTAGTTTAAGAACTTTTTTGTGTGATTATTATGTTTAAAATTGCCTGAGAATACCAACAACATATTTTTAGCATTTGGAAATTTATAAATTACTTGTGTAAAAATTCTCTTGACATTCCAAGTATAGCAAAATGATAAATTAGAGAACTAGTAAGTCTCCAAAGAATATCATTGAATGTTATTTAAGGGGAGAAAATCAACCTCAAATTATTTTAATTAATTTGTAACCAACTTCTCAATGCAATTTGAAAATGTCAAATTGCAGATGTCAAAAATCACAAATTTTAAAATAAAATATTTTGGTCAACCATTTTGTGTTTTATTTATTTTAATGTGTATAACATTTTCCTAAATATAAGGATATGTACTAATGGAGCATATAAAATGTTAGATTACATAGTTTTACAAAATTGATTTTTTAAAAATGTTTGCCTCATTTAAAACACTTTTGTATTAAACAATACATGTCTATAACTAATGGTTATGAAGTTAGAGCCTGTGTAAGGATTTTAGCGTACAGGATGTGTATGTTTACATATGTATGTATATATATATATAATATATATCATTACATGTGTATATTATATTGATTGGAAACTTCTTCCATACAATAATGTTTTCACATTTTCTAAATTTAAGCTTT